TCGGTGTTTTTCTCATATTTTTATTTTAATTGTGTGTGCTTATGCTTTTGTCTGATACCTAATAATAGTTGCGATTAATCTGATCTTTCACATAAAAAAAGAGTTATTCTATTGACTGGATATAAAGTGTGGTAGTGTGACAGTACATGTCTAGGAAAAGTTGTGGTAAGGAAAAACTTAGTTATTTAAGTGTATTTATTAGTGACTCACCTCTCTTTCCTAGCTTAGTATTTAAGTGTGTTTATTAGTGACCCATCTCTCTTTCCTAGCTTAGTATTTAAGTGTGTTTATTTGTTCCAGGCAATACTATTCATAGTGAAAAATGCATAAGTCGGTTAAAACCATGACAACAAAATATGAGATAGAGAAGTTTGATGAGAATAGTTTCTCATTGTGAAAATTGAAGATAAAGGCAATTTTGAGAAAAAACAATTATGTAAAAGCAATTGGAGAAAGATTGCGGGCATCACAGATGGAAGGTGAGAAGAAATTTACAACAACGCTATAGCAAATTTGTGGAGAATGGTACAATGAAGGAGATTTGGAAGTCCTTTGTCAAATTGTATTAAGAGAAAACACATGTTGAACTTGGTTTATTATGATGTATTGGAATCGTCGGTATGATCCCTAAGAAAGTCCAAATATTTTGTGCCAGTGATGACAATGATTACTCCTAAAGATTATGAGTGTACCGCATCAAGAGAAAGTTTGTGTTTTTAAAGTTCGGGAAAGAAAAATTCTTGGACTATGCTAACAATATGAAAGGGTAATTCTATGGAACCCACTATCCATAAGGTTATTGTTAGCGATTATACAAATATTATTTTTCTTCAAGGTGAATTTAGAAAAATGATTGATGTGCTCCAACTAGAAGACTTAAAGAAAAATGAAACTTGGTTTTCAGGTTGACCAACTCTCTATACGGTTTAAACAAGATGTCCAGGTGTTAGTACAAAAGATTTTATTCTTCATGATTAGCCTTGATTACAACAAACTAAGTTCAGACTATTTTACCTATTACAATAGATTTGATAAGAATAATTTTATCATTTTGTCGTTGTATGTAGATGACATGTTGGTAGTAGGCTCCAAGAAAGTTCGAATCCAAGTTTTGAAAGCACAATTGGCTAGGAAGTTTGATATGAAAAACTAGGGACCAACAAATAAGATTTTAGGGATGCAAATTCACCGAGACATAAAAGATAGGAAGGTTTGACTTTATCAGAAAAATACTTTCTGAAGGTCTTGTAGTGTTTCAACATGCAAGGGTGTAAACTAGTTTTTATCCCATTTTTTATCAAGTTATCCTCAAGTATGAGTCTCAACAATGAAGCGAAGACGATGAAAATGTATCGAGTACCATATGTATCAACAATGGAAAATCTTATGTATCCCATGATTTGTACAATACCAGACATTGCACAAGCAGTGAGAGTAGTTAGTAGATTCATGGGAAATCCTGGTGGAGAGCATTAGAGTGTTATAAAGAGGATCCTTAAATACATCAAAGGAACCTCAGATGTTGTATTATGTTATGGAGGATCAGAACTAGTTGTCAGATGCTATGTTATTTCAGATTTTGCAGGTGATTAAGATAAAAAGATATTTATTACTGATTATGTGTTTACAGTTGCAGGAGGGGCAATAAATTAGTTATCTAAGTTACAGGATGTTATAGCTCTGTCTACCCAGACATGTAAGGAAGCTATTTGGATTAGGAAGATAATGAAGAAACTCGGGCACAAGCAACAACAAATTGTTGTGTATTGTGACAGTCAAAGTGTCTTGCACATTACAAACAATCAAACTTTTCATTTTTGGACAAAACATATAGGAATAAAATATCATTTTGATCGGGAAGTAGTGGAAGAAGGAAGTGTGGATATGCAAAAAATTCACACAAATGAGAACCTAGCAGATGTTATGACAAAGCCGGTTAGTGTTGACAAGTTTGTATGGAGTCGATCCTATTATGGCCTAGCAGAAAAATAAGCAACATGGATGACAAGAATAAAGTAAGCATGATGTGAAGATTTAATTAATTTAATAAAAATCTTCAAGTGGAAGATTGTGAGAAGAGAAGTCTCACATCAGACAAATCTTACTTTGGTGCTTACTTTTCTTACTATAAAAGGAGCACAATGTTTACCTTATAAAACACAATAAAATCATTTTTTTTTCTTTCTTTTGCTGTTTTAGTACTTGAGAGATAAATTAAGAGAGAAAAATAGTTTCACCTTTTAGATTCTCTTATAGTTATTTTTTCTTTATTTTCAAGAGTGAGTATTATTGTTTCCTCCTTGTAGAGTAGAGAGATAAGGGTTATAATTTCTTTTGTTAATGAAATTACCTATTGTTGGTATTTTTTTATCTTTTTATTTTAGTTATGTGTGCTTATGCTTTTGTCTGATACCTAACAGTGGTATCAGAGCTAATCGTTAGTTTCTTAAGTTTCTTATTTATGATATTATTTTGCTATTATAGTAATTAGAATAGTGGAAAAAATTCTTAGTCTATTTTGTGGTTACATTTAATGTGATCTTTCATATAAAAAAGAATTATTCTAGTTACTCGGATTAGTTTCTTATTTATGATATTATTTTGTTGTTATAGTCATTAGAATAGTGTTGGAAGAAATTCTTAGTATGTTTTGTGGTTGTAGTTAATCCGATATTTCACATCGAAAAAAAATTATTCTAATTACTTGGATTAGTTTCTTATTTTTGATATTATTTTGTTGTTATAGTCATTAGAATAATGTTGAAAAAAATTCTTAGTATATTTTGTGGTTGCAGTTAATATGATATTTCACATCGAAAAGAATTATTCTAGTTACTCGGATATAAAGTGTGGTAGTTTGATAGTGCATGTCTAAGAAAAGTTTTGGCAAGAAAATACTTAATATTTAAGTATATCTATTAGTGATCCATGTTTTTTTTTTAAGAGTTTACCTAGTATACTAGTTATGTTTTATGCTATTATTCGAGTAGATAATACTATAATACATAAGTCGATTAAAACCATGATAACAAAGGAAATAATTGGTATAATTTAAAGAGTTAAAAGTAAATTTATACACCATTTCTGAAAATATTTTCAAAAAAGTTTTGAAAAATATTTTTTTAGGGCAATTCCGTTAACTATTTTCTAAAATAAAATTCCAGAAATTACTTTTCCAAACCGTTCTCAAAAGTATTATCGGTAATTGTCATGATCCCAAAATTTTCTTGACAAAAATACTTTCCCAAATAATAAAAACAATAAGATATATTACAAAATTTTCGCATAATATCAAGAATTTGATAAAAATATTTTATAATTATATAAATAACTAAATTTATAAATTACAATAAAACGAAATTAAAGTAAAATTTATGTAAATTTAATGGGAAATATACAGAAAACTGGTGGAAAGAGTTAAGGGGCAATCAACTGAAACAACCATAAGGCTAAGAGGGGAACCATCCCTCAAAAGCTAGCTCAAGAGGTTGGAGAACCTCCTACCTTATAAGGCCTCCATGTTAAGGAGATCTCCCCAATGTGGGACTTACAATATCACCCCGTTCGAAAGCCAGCGTCCTCGATGGCTGCACTCCACGACACTTCACTCACCGGCACTTCACTCACTAGCACTTTACTCGGCTTTCTTACCGGTCAGAACCCTCCAGTGGTCAGAACCCTCCGGCAGTCAGAACCCTCCGTGGGTAGCCCTTCTCGAGTTGGCTGGCTCTCAATGAAAGCACCATTGAAACAACCATAAGGCTAAGAGGGGAACCATCCCTCAAAAGCTAGCTCAAGAGGTTAGAGAACCTCCTACCTTATAAGGCCTCCCTGTTAAGGAGATCTCCCCAATGTGGGACTTGTTACATCAACAATCAAAGTGGATCGTAAAGAAGAGGACAAAGATTTATACATTTATTATATCAAAAGGGCATTTTTGGTAATAAATATAAAGAAGAGGGGGGTGTATATAGAAATTCAGAAGAATGTAATAATAAAAGCCTTAGATACCAGTACTCCGATCAAGGTCCAAGGCTCAGAAATTAAAGGGCTTTTAAAACCCAGTTAGGTAGATATCTAGGCCTAGTCACTATTGCACATGATGTCATATAACTTTCACTTCACTTCGTTGCATCTAAATAGTGTAAATGAATTGGGCTTTATAAACAATTTCACTAATTATATTCGCGTTATTAGTTTAAGCTTCTACCCAAAATCTTGCTTTAAGGAGAATGTTTGTTTATTATTATTTATCCAATATCAATTTTGAAGAGTTATATTTTAAAATAAATTTCACCAGAAAACCTTTGTCACGATTTTTATCACATTTTTATAATTATATTTTATTATGACTTTACTTTTTAGCATGAAAATATTTGACACTTTGTTTAAATGTAAAACTAAATTAAACACTCATACTTTTCAAAAACCAAATGGACCACTATGCCATTTTATTATATCATGACTGCAGATATAAAAATGGTACATATTTGTAATTGTTTAAGCTTTGCACTCTGGTTAAGAGATCTAACACAGTTGACTAAGTTGTGAGTTTTGGTAAATTTTCAGATATTGGAGTTTGACTCATTCCTATGCAATTTTTCTGTAGATAACCTGCTCAACAATTTTTAATCAAAATATATTGAAAAACATAATTAGGTTAACTGCGCGAAAGGAGCAACCAGAATGAGTATGCCTATTAATCTATAGCAGTCAAATTAGGGAAAAAAAAACTAAAATTTCATTCCATTCCTTTCTTTGAAGAGAGTATACAAAAACCAATTACTGAAATTTATCAATTCAATGAGGTCTTCCTCAAAGAATTAATCCAGAGGCAACTCATGCAAGACACATGGCACGTCTCAGACTTGTTAGCTGCTGGAGGTTAATCCACATTCTGCAATCAACACATACCTTTTATACAATTCCTCAAACTTGTTAATACAAACTGAAACTCCACTACCAAAGAAATACATTCATGAACCCCATTTGACACTTTTTCATTCATGTCGCTGTGGCAACATTGAACTATCTGACACAGCAACGTTACCTTGGTTCTCCACATAAGGCCTAATGAAAGTTCTCCTCCACCACACCTCAAAGGCCCTCTGAAGATTTGGACAGCTATCACCAGTTTTCAAGAAACTCCCCAACCATGAAAGCAAAATGCTCTGTTGATCCTCCAGAGGCAAGGTGAGAATAGTCCTCCCGATTCCTTCTTCCACAAGTTTCCTATCAAATGACCTGCATCCATGCTGCAGCCAGTTGTAGTCATTCATCAGAGGCTGCAGCCATGTCTGTAATAACAACCGGCGTGTGTCCTTTGAAGGCAGCAACTCCCCTCTCCCAATGCCAACATACAGTCTACCAGAAAGGCAACTAACATGGTAGCGCAACACTGTTGGCAGCTTTGCATGTAACACGGCCAGTTCCTGTTGGTTTGCCCACATAAGTGCAAACTCATCACCAGCTTGTTTGTCAACTAAAATCTCAAGCAACCATGTTAAGTTATCAGCTTCAAGAGCTATGCACTTTGCTAGACGATCTCGGTCCTCATCCGGTTCTGCAGCCTGCTTAAACAGTGTCAGTAATGAGTCTAAGCAGGTTCTGCATGATCCGTAAATTGTGTCATTACAAATATCGGTTGTGCGCGCATAGCTAGGAAGACTGTTGTTCTCCCTCAGGAGCTTTAGAACAATGGATTTCATCTCTCGGCGGCCTCTTTCCTCGTTGCTTTTCAGAACAAGGTCGATGATGTGGGAAATAGTGTCCTTAGGGACATTAGAAATGTCAGATGAAATTCGTTTCAGCACAGGGTTGACTCCAATTCCTTCTGCTTGGAGTTGTAGCACAGTTGAGACCACCTTTTCCTCCTCTTCATCTCCAACCCAAGGGACTGCTTCCAAGAACTCCAAACATGATTGGATGCAAGAGCTGAACCCAAGGAATTCTGCTACCTGAGGAATATCACAACTTTTTAGTTTTTAAAAAGAAATTTTTATATTTCTGTCTTCTAAACCCAACTACCACCAAGAGATTCTGGGAAAGATTTAAGCATATAATGCGGATCATAAAAAAATCTACTCAACTTTAAGTCATTAAGTATTGGATCAAGGTATCCTACAACTGAGCAAAATGTTTGTGCTTTGTTCATAATTTCATGAAAATTCAAACAAAATCAAATTGAAAAATGTAGAAACTCTAGACTAAGGCTGAATTTAACTAGACACTGAAAATTACCACTTACAGTTACAGTACCTGAATGAAGAAGGTAAAAAGCCATGAACACGTAGTTGTATAGTCCATATTGCAATGTATAGTGGCAGAACACATTAATATTAAAAAAAAAGTATATGCAGAAATGAGATCATATGCCCAGCTGTCTGCAGATTCAGCAGGATCACATTAAATTAGATGCTATCTTCTTTTGTTCTGACCTCAATGCTACTTCATCATCAAAAACTATCTTTCCACTAATGAGCTGTGTTTAAAGTGCATGATAGTATTATTATCTCAACATGTACCAGCCCACATTTTTATAAGCAACAATTGCTTAGTTTTTATTTTATTTTTGAGAAGAAAGGTGTTAACAACACAAACAAATTCTAAGGATTATCTGTTCGTGTAATGGTCCCCCATCCATTGTTATGCCCTGTCAGAATTATAAGTAAAATAGTAAGGAAAAAAGTGAGAAGAAAAATAAGAAAGAGCGAAGTAAAAGAGAAACAGATCAGAGGAAATGCATCTGTTTGGATTGATAAAAAGGAAGAATAAATTGCATGAAAAATGGTTTGTAAAAAATTAAATTCAACCCAAAATATGTAAACTTTTTACTCTAATTTTTACATAAAATCATTAATTATTTCATTTTAATTTCAAGTTTTTTGTGAAATTAAAAGAAAAGAAACAGAGATAGCTCCCCAACCCCCTCCTCACCCCAATTTGGGGTGATTTCTTAAAAGAAATGAAACACAAAGATCCTTTGATGTTTGATTTTATTTAAGCTGTTGGTGTTAGCTATCTGAATAGGGAACTGGAATTCACACGATAAAATTTTGCGAAAGGATAAATGGTGAAATAACAAGGTAACATATATGAAATGATGCGGCATCTCGTTGCAAAAGTAACTACTGTGGTTTTAGGCTTTTAGCCACAACCTTTCATAATCAAACCTTGTAGAGACAGGACCAAATATTCTTGACCAACATTAATAATCTGATGATTTATTGGCAATAAAAAGTAATTGATCAGATATCTACTGATTGTTTTCAGAAAAATAAACCGCCCCCATGTGACACCATGATCTATTATGATCATTACCAAAGTCCTCGTTCATGGAAGCCTCCACTCTGCAATGCAACTGTTGACCTTCTATGTCAACCATACATACAAGTATGTGTTAAATTTACAAGTTTACTTCTACTGCAACTCTTGATTTGCCATCACTAATGAAGTAATCTAATATCTAATATCTACCATAAAAAGTATGAGTACATCAGAGTCTGATATCTATCTAAAAAGCACAAATCATGTGTAATGGAAGCACTTCCTCTTTTAGGACTAGAGTTGAAAATAAGTAATGAAGTTAAAACAATCAAGATGTACAAGAAAAATAAACCAACAAATAGCCGTATAAGAATTTATTCTTGAAACAGCTGTAATGCACCAGTTTCCATTTCACTACGGCAGCTTCCAATTGATAATCAATACTCGTTTACATAATCACAAATAGTACAAAATTAGATTCATTTATTTTGAAATCCATTAATTTTGAGAGGAGTATAATTGATGAGAGAAGTAACTCTACGAGTATCATTGATGAGGGGAGTATTAATACTCTTTATCAGAGATATCAACATCAAGCACCCAAAGCCATCATTTTATTTCGAAAGAACAAACGAACAGACGCTGATATAGATAATCTTAGAATTACAATAGCAACACAACACATTTCATCCCCAGAAACACATTATACAACAGAGTTGAGTAAGAAAAACTGAAATCAAGGCTGATAAAAAAAAAATCATCAAGGCAAGACAATAATAGCAAATTACCTTAAGTATTCGAAGAATGCGAGAAACACTTTGCTTCATAAGCCGCTGCTTCATCTCCTTACAGTACATAAGACCAACAGTTTCAACATATATCTCAACATCCTCACAGTCACCGATTTGGAGACATGACAAACCCGATTGTTCAGATAGTTTCTCAGAGAAGAAGCTACTCTTCTCAATCAGAACATTCCTGTGCACACTTAACTTCACACAAAATCCCTGCTTCCCTAACAAAATCACTTTCATATCACAACTTCCAGGTTCACCAAACTCAATAGCAACCTTCTTTGGCAAAGATTCAATCTTTGGCCTGGGTCCCCTCTCTGCAGCAGCCACAGATGAGGTTGCAGGAGCAGGTCTTTCTGGAGCAGTTGCACATTGCTGATCATCAGAAAGCACCAATCTAGAAGGGGCAGCTGAGACTGCAGCAGTTCTTCTCTCATACACTGGAACAGACACTGGCTTTTTTTTAACACTGGATTTTGATGGGGGTGAAGAGGCTTTGGGCTTATGGAGAGGATTCTGAGCCTTTAGGCTTTTCTGAAACACCACAGGAGAAGGGCAGCACCAAAACCCTTCTGGGGTCACAGCTATTGGAACATTTTTAATCTTGGTTTGGCCGGACTCCATCCTGGTTAGCCTAATTTCTGCCATGTCTACCAAGGACTCCCAACACACACAAAGCTAATGTGGAAGAATAAGATATGAGAGCATCACAAGTAGTGAAAACTGAAAATGGATGCAGAGGAAGAAAAATCCAAACACGCCCCTCGTTTAACTAAGTACCAAACAACCAAATTTGTTGTGTTGTACTTCAAAGTCAAGTCAAGTCAAGGGAAGGAAACCTCGCGGCAAGTTTTGTTCCACTCTTTCCGCAAGTTCAAATCTTCCCCTAGAAAACAGTCCTCATCCCTCGTAACCAAGGAAACAAACCAGCTAACCATCTGCAACCTCTTGATCTACTCCTTAATGCAGTTTGGTTATTTGATTTTTTTTTTCTCAAAAATTTGAATCCCAAATGATTTTATTTTTGAGAGAGAGAGAAAGGTTAAAGTATTTTTAATTTTAAAAATATAACCGAAGAGTTTTCATGTTGAAGAGAAAAACTGAACAGATAGATATATATATATATATATATATATATATATATATATATATATATATATAGAGAGAGAGAGAGAGAGAGAGAGAGAGAGAGAGAGAATGAGAGGAAAATGCCAAAAACTCAGAAAAAACGGCTTCTTTCTCTTGTCACCAGTAACCGCAGCACCGCCAAAAGCTAACTTATCAAGGCATGGTGTCACATAAGAAACCACTGAAAATCCATGTCTTTATTTTAAGCTAACTCAACTGAACCCACGGAGAGAGAAAAGTGACAGACCAGATGCCACAGTGGAAAACATGAAGGAAATCAGAGAACATGTAGTTCTAGCCAGAGAGGACAATTAGTGCAGTGCAGTGTAGCACACAGTTGCAACCTTCAATACCCTCTTCAATTTGTAAAGTAGGAGGATTTAGAATTGGAAAAAACATCTCAGGACACGAAGAAAAAAGAAGGAAAAGCAAAAAAGGAATGAAGGAGTGGATGATGATGATGGCTCATGGGGTGTGTTTGTGTTCCATGCTTTTGATGATTGACTTTGTACCTCTGTGGGTCTCAAAAATCTGAATCACTTGTTTGTTGGACCCCAGAATTTTACAACATTTATTTGCTGTGTGCAAAAGTGACTGTTCTGGGAAGAAGAGAAAAGAAAAAGTAATTGGCTTCTCTTGTTTTTCATTCTGTTGTGTAATGCACACAACTCACTCATCATCACAGACAGCAGGCATGCCTTCCGTTTTTTTTTTTTTTTCCATAATTTCCTGAGATTCTTTGTGTCCCAATTGCTTAAAGGGACCGTCGTTGGATTTTTTAGGCTGGGAGCGACCGTAATGTAGAGTAAAGGTGAAGTTTTGTTACATGGTGGTGCAATTACTTGTACACCCTTTTAGTTAAGGTTCTCGAATACTGTGTTCTCCCATCTCAGATTCAAGAGCGAGCTTGAATCTTGTGCACTGATAACACAAACATGCCAGCAACTGAATAAAGTATTCGATTAATTTTTTTCTTAATCACGTATTTTCATAAGAGAATTTCAAACTCAACCATGACCAATTCCTTTTAGAAGATTCTCTGTTATTCAATGAAAAGTTGGAAACATTTATAAAATTTCAGTCCGAAATAGAATTCATTCATAACTAGGTTAAGCAAGTTTCCACTCAAATATCCCTATTTGGACTTAAAAAAGAAACATTTTTAATAATTAAATAACTTTGATTATAATTATCTATATAAACAACTTACTAAAAATCTATTCAAATAGAGTTATATTTTGAAAAGTTTTAACATCCAGGGAGAACAACATTAATATTGTGCTAAGCCTAAACTGCATTTGTTGTCCTTGTTGTTTTGTCTTTGTTTTAGAGTTTATAATGATGGAAGTGGCAGTTAAATATTATCGTATATTGGGGGACCGAAAACGATGGATGGTGTATGCTCCAAACCAAAAGCAGAAAATGCTGTGTTACCTTCTTCAATCTTCTGAGAATTGGATAGCCATGCTTGTTCTGTTCTTCACCTAGTTCTGTTTATGTTCGGTTCCACACTACTTTTCAAGTCCACTAGGATCACATCCTGTGGGCCATTTAAATTTTCACCCTTCACCCCATTGAAAACGTAAAAGTGCTTTAGTTTTGAAAATTTATTTATACTAGTATGTATGTTAAGATTATTATTTAATTTCCAGTGGCTTAATTGCATGTTTGTATGTCACTCACCTAACTAGCACCATTAAATCATTACGCATTTACAATCATAAAAGCTAACCAAACCCCTTTCCTTGTTTAAATTCCTCCTTGGGTTGATATGCATTGATTAAGTTGGGTGAAGAGAATTTTAGTAAGAAAAGAATATAATTTCTGACCTAAACTTTGGAGAGAGCATGGAGGTGAATCAGAATGGGAGGCTTGAAGGAATGATTCACAAAATAATGGATTGGCTATTTTGGGTTAAACAGTTTGGCATTTGACTGGGTAATCTTTAAATTTAATTATTATTATTATTAGATATATTTATAATTTTTGTCTCTCTTTTTTAAATATTTTTATATTTATTAATTATCTATTAATAATATATTATTTATCTTAAATAAATAATTAAGATCCCTCACTCACCCTAACTTATCTAATTAATTCAATCAAATCTTTCAACCACGAATAATTTCAAATTAAAAATTAAAGAGGTGTCAGCTTACGTCTTTCCATGTCTAAAAATTGATATGGGATATGATAAAAGTAATAGGTCAAAAGTTACTCCAAAATTACAGATTATATATATATAAAGGTTGAGTTACATTTTAGTCTGTATTTTTATTATTATTTTTATTTTAAAAATGAATTAATTAACAGTCAAATTTAAATATATATATATATATATATATATATATATATATATATGGAAATTTAAGATGGGTTGATTTATATTTTTTATTTTCTTTAAAATGTTGTTGAACTTATTTTTAGATTGAGTTAAAAAAAAATACTTGATACTTTTAATTTAAAATTATTTTAAATAAAAAGTAGGACACATATATTAATGAGTTTGAACTAAAATTAAACAAATATCTTTAACAATTTCATGATGACAAAAATTTGATAATATAGTATAATAGTTGAGAAAAAACGTAAATATCAATAAAAATATATATATAATTGAAAAATAAATTATATTTTTTAGTAGATTTTATTTTTCTAATTTAAAATTTATAATAAAATAATGATTAAATAAGTATTGTAACTTTTAAAATTAAAAAAAACTAAAAACTATATTTTTAGAAAGAAAAAAATATTTAATTCAATCGATACATTTCCCATATTCATTCATAAATGAGAACGAGGGTTTCATATTCAAAATATCATCGTCATGTTTTATGCATAAGATAGAAATAAAGTATTTGTTCGTCTTAAAATAACTATCATTTGAAGTTTTATTTAATATCAAAATTACTTATATTTTCACACTCCTAATATGTCGACATTCAAACAAATAATTTACTTTTGTTAAAATAAACTTTTACAGTATTTTTTATAATTTTTTTTATCCATGCACAGAAAGATAAATTATTTGGAATAAAAAGTATTGTTATTTAATATCCATTTTAAAAAATAATCAATAACATAATTTAAATTAAATTACATGAAATATTTATTTAATTTCAAAATTTCTTATATAATCATTAATTGATAAAAATAAATTTTTAAATCGATACTTATATAAATTAATATTTTTTAATAATGTATATTTTCATATATAATTTTTTTATTATAATTTTTTTCTAAAAGTATTTTGAATTTAAGTTAATAAAATAATAATATATTAAAAATATATATTAAATTATTTATTTCATATTTATAATCATTTTATAATTATAATATTTTATTAAAATAATAATTATATATATATAAATTATTTGAAATTGTAAATATAATGAATTATTTATTTAAATGGAAATAATTTTATAAAAAAATTAAAAAAAATTCATAATGATCACAAAACGCATAAAAAGGCTAAAAAGAAGATTAGCCAAAATCCATCTAATTAAAGATGAATTAAACCCTCGTAATTTTGCTTATGAGGTTGCCTTTTGTAAGACTCACATAAAAACTCTTGAACAAGGACTAGAGAAAATAAAGCATTTTGTTGCTTGATATAATCTATTTTCTGATTGTTTTTAAAATAATAATTATATATATATATATATAAAAATTATTTGAAATTGTAAATATAATGAATTATTTATTTAAATGGAAATAGTTTTATAAAAAAATTAAAAAAAATTCATATATAATTGAAAAATAAATATATATGTTAAAAAAAGTAACATCTTTTTTTCTTATATTAATCACTTTCTACTCTTGAGAAAAATATTCTAAGTCTTTATTTTAAAGTATAGTTAATTTTTTTTTTCAAATGAAAATATGAATTAATATAATTAAAGAAAAAAATAATTATTTCTCCTCGTGAAGCATAACTTTATATATATATATATATATATATATATATATATATATATATATATATATAATCTTTCAATTAATTAATATTTAAAAACAATTATGAAAAATAAAATATTAAAAAAAATAAATTATAAAGAATTAAATAACTTTTAAAATAAAATTTTAAAAACTAAATTTTAAAACAATAATATTTCAAAAACCGTTACAATATATATAAAATGGAGATTCTCACGAAATATTAACGTTGAGAACAAATATTTGTACTAAAAAAGTGGATACAACCGACATGAATGCCCAGTTGAAATACCCACCAACGTTAATGCCCACTTGAAATATCAAGTTATTATAAAAAAATTATAACAAAGAAATTATCCAAGGTTAGCCTTGATTCAGTATAATAAAGAAATGGTGTGTATTAAGTAACATGTGTGGAAGAATAAAATAATTATATTTATATGACTCTTATCATATATTTTTAAATAATAATTTATATATTTAATTAAGATAATTAATATGTTAGGCACATAGATAATATATTTGTTATTTGATATGAATGAGGTAATTGTATATGTTGTTTTTATTTTTTTATTAAACAATTTACTTTTAATAATTTATTTTCAGAGTGTACTTAAATTTTATCATTTATTTTTTATATATTAAATCTGTTATTATAATATTTAACCATTATAAAACATTATATATATATATATATATATATATATATATATATATATATCATAAGCAAATATTTCATTTATAAAGATAAAAAAATAAAAAAATGTGTTTTATATTTTTAGAGTTAATAAATATAATTTAAAATCATATATAATATAAAAATTCGTCATTTTTTTTATACTCACATAATTTAAAACAATATAAAATAATTAATTTAACATATTTTAAATTCCTATGATATTTTTTTGACTAAAATATATTATGTAATTAATTAATATATCAAACAATCTAATAATTTGTATTTTACTAGTTTAATTTTTAACTTTAAACTTATTATAGGGATTAGTAACAAAATATAAAAAAAGTTTAAAACATATAAAGACTAAAATTTCACATATAAAATTAAAATTATGTTCATAGTTTATTTGTCAACTTAAGAGTGTATAAGTCAATAAATATTGAACCAAATAAATTTGTTAATTTACTCGAGAAAAAATTATTAATTTCTTTCTGTTTATGATAAAACAATTTTTCATTCATTGAGTATTTTATTTATCATTACTTCTTTAACTATATATTTGATGCATAAGATATAAAAAAATTATGTTTTCCTTTTAAATAATCATCACTTTTGAAGTTTTATTTTATATAAAAATTTATTTTTATTTGTAAATCCAGAAAGAAATTATGATAGCTTTATACAAATTTATTCTTCTTAGTTAGTAGCTTTATAAATAAAATGACAAAATATTAATAGAAAGATAAAGTAATATAAATTAAGGCATTTATATTTGAAAAGAAAATTAAAGATATGTAGTGAAGCTTTTAATTGTTACTGGAAACTGTATTAAATAATGATTGTTTTGAATGTAATTAATTATTGTTTGTGTAGTAAATAAAGTAACTTGTGACTTCTATAATGTATTGCTCGTGATATGCAATGACGTGATCAAATAAATTTATAACACGTGTGATCTTGGATCCAAACCATAACATGAAACATTATTAAACTTTTTGCTGGAATTTAAGAATATTAAAATTGTAGTGTTTGTTTCTTACCATTAATTGAATTCTTTGAGGGGGAAAAGAGATGCTTTGTCATCACTCTCTCTCCTCATTTTGGTTTTTTGGTTAGATAGGCCTACGGATTCCTAAAGGCACGGAACGCGATAATTACTTTTGTCTCCTCTTCATTTTTTCACACTTATATAGCTTCAATATTTTAATCATTTTTGTTTTATACTACATGAAAGCCATTTACATCATTATGACACCAAATCTAAATCTATATATAAAAATCAATAGTAAAGAAAAAACAACTTCCCTATATTAAATATTACTGAAATAAAAAATAAAATACATGTTAGATAATGGATAATAAATTCAAAAATATAAAAATTAGAGGATATTTGTTTGTAAGTTAATATATTATGGTACATTTGTTTTGTTTGATTTAATTAGTTCAATAATTATTCATAAGAGTATTAAAATAGAATTAATATATAAGTCAGTCAAGATATTTGTTAACAAAAGTGTAATAATAAATTTAGTGAGTTAGAAATTAACATGTCTTATAGAATAATAATTATTTAAAAAGAATAAAAAAATTATTTTATTATATAGATATATTTTAAATTAATTTAAGAAAAGATTTACGTTTTTTAAAAATAAATATTTATTAATTATTTATTTTAAAAATATAATAATTAAAATTAATTATTATTTTAAATTATTAAAAATAAATAATAAAAATAAATTTTTATTTTTTATTTTAAAATTAAATAAATATATTTTTTTTATAATTTTATATATTAAATCATCATATCTTAAATAAAAAATAATTTTACTAATAAAATTTAAAAATTAAAAATATATTTTTATTTAAATATTTTTTAAATTAATTGATTTGGTATATATGTTAATTTATTTTAATTTTAATTAAATTAAAATTAGTTCTTTAATCTTATCTAACGTTAAAAATTATTTTTTTTGTCTTGTTTTAGAATAAAAATGAGGTAGATCATAAATAATTTTTACTTGGTCAAAAAGGTTAATTTGGATTAATATGTCGATTTTGACATATTTAATCATTTATTATATAGATTGAACTAGGAACAAATAAATGCAATTTGTATAAAATGAAAGGATTAAGAATTGATCATGCAACAATAATTGATGTAAAAACATGCCCACAAGGGATTCATGAAGCCAAACATTTTATTTGTGAAGGTGGTTGGTGTTAGCTTTACGCAATTTCTCATCTCAAAAGTAGGCTCATACTTTAGACCACATATTCACTTTTTTTACTCCTTTCCTGTTTAATTTCCTTCATGCAATCATAGAGATTTGTAATGATTAATTCTATCCAATTTCTAAACATGAAAGGTAATGGAAAGAGAAAAGTGGTTTTTGTTATAATTTTGAGGTGTTAATTTTCGTATTTTAAACAATTTGTTTACTCTCAACCAGATTTCAAAGATATTAAATTGTGGGGTCCCATGTGTTAAGCTAAAGTGTAACCCAACTAATAACTAATTTGTGTACAGATTGTAGTAAAGAAGACGCACCAAACTAGTTATTAATCACAAAACTTGACTCATTTTGTGTCTTCAAGATGGCCCCACCTCTCCTAATTAGAGTTAACGTGAACCACAAATTACGTAAATCACAAAACCCTGTTAAGACATTTTCTGTAGATTATTAGCTTTAACAAAATTAATTATTTGAAAACATCATTTCTAACATGAGACACATCAGTACCATTTCTAGCAACTATCATTAATTTCGATCATTTTTTAATTTTTAATTTTATTATTAAATTTCGTAATTACATTCAAAGTTTCTTTAATCCTAAAATATTAACTTGTATATTAATAATTTAGGACCTTGTGTTAATGTTAATAATTTAGGAATTCATATTAATATTTTAATACCAACCTTCTTTGACATAATTATAATTCAATAGTTAAATTAATAAAAAAAAGATTTTATAATAGTATAATAATTAATATAAATGATATTATATTCGTGTGACTAGTCTGATTCCACATTTTGAACATTAAGGTAGAGTGAATATATAAAATACATAATGTATTTAATATTTAAATACATAATATATTTAATAAAATATAAGAACAAAAGTACATTTGGCGACATTAACTAAATTTTCGGCTTATATACAAATTAAGTTGTCTTTTTCGAATAATGCAAATAAAGAATTTTTTTTTGAAAATTGTGTGAAAACCAGGAGTGACTAAAAAGTTGAATATCATCACTTTCTTTTTTAATTATTTATGATACTATTTTTTTTTATGTAATTTTATCATGTTTGTGACTAGTTTTTTATTGGGATTAATAGACTTTGTGTACGCGAATATAAAGATACAAAGTTTATTCTTCAATTATTAAAAAAATCATATATTAACCCTTAAAATTACATGCAATAATCCTCCTAACAAATATTTTAGATAATATAAAATAAAATCTTAATGTTGTTTTTAACGTAATTAAACCTTCACTTTGAAGAAATAAAATCTTGATGTTAGTTTCCTTCATTGCAGGATTACTCATCAGAAAATAGTGTATAAACAAACTTTGCAATTCCTTAAAAGGAAATTACAATTACTTGCATAACTTACAACATAACCAGCTAAGAAATTGGGGAGGATGAATAAAATTTTTAGTTTCCCATTATCACGATTAAATATCTCTCAATGGGTTATTATACGCAGTAAAATACCATAAAAATTGGAAAGCGATGCCAAATGGTTTAAAGAAAAAACAAATCAAGATCACTACAAATGAATTTTTTTTTTTTGAAAGGCAGTGGTAAAATTACGCAATTTATTTTATTTTATTTTATTTTTAAATTTAAGAGTCACCTAAAAAATGGAATTTGACCTTGGGAATTTTCTATTCTTAAATGATATAACAAATGAAGGAATTTAAAAAAATTGAACCTCATATTATTAACCCAAAGAAAGTTAGTTTTGCTTATAAGGATAGAACACCTTTGCAAACTAAGTCCTAAAAAACTAGAACAAGCACAGAAGTCACAAGAAAAGGGTTAACCCTGTTAGCAATTGAAAAATAACCCTAATATGTCTAATAATAGGAAAAATTACAACACAAGGCAAACAATCTTAATTGTTTACCAGGGATATGTGATTATGACTAACCAATTAAGGACATATTGGAGGAGTTACTCTATAGGAGTTTTTAAGAAAAAACAAATCTAATGAATTTTTGTATAAGCTAAACTTATTTATGCACAAATTAAAAAACACAGAAAAATTATATGAGAAAAATCTAGAAATTAATTTATTGAAAAAAATAATTTTTAATTTATAAAAAACCATTTCAATTTATTTATCTTATTTTTTTTAGAAGTTTATACACTAAACATACCTACAAAGTTTAGAAAAAAAAAGTGTGCAAGATCATTTGCAAATAAATAAAAAATCAAATTAATAAAAAATGACCAATACTGTAGTTAATTTTTCTAATCGAGTTTATCATAGATTTATGAATAGTTAATATGAATAATTAATTTAATTATTGTCTCACCTTTAAATTAAACGATTTAAAAATCAATTTATTTGGAAATATTTCCTACTCGTCGCATTCACTGTCTAACATGATTGATTAAAATTAGCTCTTGCTGATAATGCTTATCCACTGCCATACCATTAGTGAAATATCTATCATTATTTCAGAAAACTAGGCAAAAGAATAAAAAACAAAAAAATACATGCTATTATCAGTAGTGGTTGATGTTCAACTTAAACATGAAATCAACGTTAAAAATACTACTTCATCTCTCTGATAGATCATTTCCACTTCTTTTATTTTTATTCTTTTTTTAAGATATTTTCACATTTCACTTCACTTCATCTCAAAGAGAATCCATTTGATAAAAGGAAATTAGTTGAATGGTAAATAGAAACCTTGGATACCATCTGGTTAAGAAAGAAAGTATTGTTGGGCAGAATTATTGGTATGGTCATAACCATGCAACTGTAATGATAAGTTAACAAGTTAAGAGTCACCTCCACACCAGCCACCAGTCACCAGAGAAGTGATGGGTCAGGTGGAGAGTGAGACTTATAGAGGGAACCGCCACATCTGTAGCAACAGTTCTTATTTTTGGCTTTCTCAAGCATGTAGGGTATTCTAACATTCTATGTTCTTTCAAAGTTGCTGTTTGAAACAATGCTGCCACTTTGCATGTGACTAGATCCTACGTACGAATTTTTTTGACTCCAAATTCCTGTTTTGTTATTTCATTCTTGCATATATATATTAGCTGTTTGGATGTCCCTCTGTCAAATTAATTGTAAATTATAGAAGAACTTGGGAAACATGTACAACTTATATGGACACTGATATAGTTTTTTTAGCTTTGCCTTTTTTATGTATGGAAGAAAATAAAATTTATCCTCCCAGACTCTTTCCTTTTTGTTTGGAAGTGATCAATGTGATAGGACTCATCAACTTGAAGCTTGTAACTTCCATTTTTAGTCTCCAAGTAGCTTTATTCAACTTCGTTACGTTCCGAACTTCTGGTTTATATGGTGACAATTGCATACCCATGGTCCTACAAAATGAATTCTTTTGGCACAAAACATTTCAAATTTAGTAAAGGAGGAGACTGGTAATGAGCTGTTTCTTTTTTAATACAACCAATTACTTTGATCACCATCAATCAGATGACAAAAAGTTTCACCAGAATGAAGGATAGTTTTGATGATATTCCTCTGGACATTCCAAACGACAATGAGAAATCCAGCTTCTATTTGTTTTTATTGCTTCAAAATATGTAAAAAAAGTTGTACAAATGTTGTATGTTTTAAATGTTGAAAGAAACCAACCCATAGTTAATTCTGGTATGGCGCGCCAAAAACATTCCTGTAACAATTACTTTCATTTCTACATGTTATAGATTGGCTTAATTATCTTTTTACTTACTTCTATTTCTATGTAATTGATTTAGTTACCTTTTTCAAATCTTTAAAATTTTGAATAATTCTAATTTTGGTCTCTCAAAATTTTCTTTTTGAAAAGTAGTTCAGAACATTGATTTTTTTTAAACATTTAATTGAGTAAATAAATTGTTTTTTTACCATAACTAAATTTAAGAGACAAAAATGATTTTTTATTTATCTGAGGGATTAGAAAAAAAATCTCAAATTTCAAAGACCTAAATCATAATTAAAAAATGTTAATTTTTGTAAATAAAAGGTATTTAGACAATATATAATGTGTATCTTGCATTGAAGGACATTTTGATTTTCTTGTTTTAGAAAATGTAAAAAGTAATATGTAAAATAGAGATTGCATAAAAGTGGTCGGTTTTAAAAGTTGAAAGCCACCCCAGATGAATCTGGAGTTATTATGTGATAAACATTCCTGCAACAATGACTTCCATTTATATATATTACTACAAATTATAGATGTTCAACTTCTACTTAAACTTCATATTCAATGAGATAGGCCCAAACGAACTTCGACAATTTGACAAATAACTCGTTATTTTGTGCATTGCTTACAATAATTGGCTGGATTTAATTTGGCTAAATCGTTTTTATATCTCAAAAAAATTCATGATCCTAACAACAATATGCAATTGTTTCTCTGAAATAAGTTGAATCTAACACATTACTTTTATCCAGATTTAAGGAATTGTTTTCCAGTTGCTTGTAAATTTCATCATCTGCTGACTGCTAATCACAACAATCAATACAAATTTCGTAGCCATCAGCTAACAATTAACAAGATGTTACCTACATGGATTTAGTGAGGCAAATTAAATTTAGCGCTTGCTCAAATGTCCAATATCTGAAAGCCGAGGAACTACAACGGGTGCACCTCGGACCTTCTCAAGAGCAATATTTATCCTCAATGGTCTACCTAAAAGTGCCTGCAAAGGAAACAACATCTTCAGAAGGAACTTCTACAGGATATGATATAATATGGTATTATTTATGTTTGACCTTTCCATCCATTGCATCCTTTGCACATTTGGCATCATCTTCATTTGAGAAAATGACAAATCCAAAGCCTCTAGACCTGCCACTATCTTTATCATACACTATCCTCACTACAAGAAAAGAGAAGGACTTCAATAATTTAGCAGAAGATCAAGACAATAACAGATTCAAGGATACTTATATATTGTATACTCAAATTGAACTTGATGTGAATCGAATGGAACAAATCAGATGGTGGGAAAAAATGAAAGAGCTCCACAACATGTTTTACGATTATGATAGTTATGTGTAGAAAATAACTGCTTTAGAAAACTGTTGTGTATTAGAAATTGTAAGATTATGTGAATAAAATAACTTATTTTAGTAGGTTTTATATTAGAAAAAGCAGGATGACAGTTATCTGTGGATAATACTGCTGGTAGTTGTAAACATAGTTATCATGCTTATGTATTCACATTTCTATTACATAATAAAAAAAGTTAACAAAAGTGGTTTTTTAAAAAAAAAATAATAAGCACTTATTTATTGATACCAAAACTGAATAATAACCCTTTATGTATTATAATAGATGATAAAAGGTTGTGTAATCGGGAGTGGGAAGTTATTTGTAATTTGAGGACAGAGAATACTTTCAGATTTTGTAGTAGTTTCGGTTGTTGAATTTCGTGCAAGTTAGGTTGTGCTTGTATTGGCTGCAAGCGGAATGTAGGCGCTTTAGGTAGGTGTGTGTTGACCATGCATTCTCGCGTCATGTAACGTCGTATGATAGAGGTGGTGTGGTGATTGACCTCAATGCTAATGGTTATCCCCAAGGTTCAACGAATGAATGAAGCTATGATCGTACCCGGATAGAAATGACGGTCTTCCTCTTATGTCTCCAAGCCGGTCATAATAGAATATAATAGATAGGCAATGCAGCCAATAACAGTCTGTTTTAGCCTAAAAGATACTCAATTAATTACAAACCTTTAGGTTATATGAGTTTTGCGACCCTACCTTATGGTAGGGATATTGCTCCATCTCTGTTGAGAGTCTTCTATTAAGATGCACTCAATGCTGTCTGGCTCGTTTCGAAGTCATTAAGAAAGGGTCTTATGACAAAAAACATGGATGTGTTACCACTTGAACAGACATGCATCAACAGTATGGATAAAAAGTAGTATAAGGTGTGAAACATTAGGATAGAGATATCCAGTGTTAAAAAATTCTTTATATGCCTGATTTTTAAGAGATACAAATACTATGACGATCGTTCATACTTGCTGTATGATAATGGTTCATACATAGTGTATGATGACTATTCATATTTAGTATATGATGATGGTTCATACATAGTGTATGATTACTGTTCATACTTGGTATATGATGATGGTTCATACACATGCATTATATGTTATAGGTGACTTTTGTGTCTAGGACAGTAAGTGTATTGGTCGTGTTGATATCGGACTAACCCACCACTCTTGAGATTGCAATTAAGGCACTCCCAAAGAGGCTACAACAAAGGCAGAATAGGGGTGACCACAATTAAGGTGACTTCCAACTCTCTCTTCACGTTTATGCTACTAGCCTAGAGAGTGTGTTAAAGGAGGGTGACCCGATAATGGATCTAAGATAAACTTGGATATTATCTTAAAAATTAGACAGAGCCTAACTCAACCCCATAATGAGAATCAACTTCTCTCTAAATTAAGTTTATGTTGATCTCTGTTGCCACTGCGTTCATCTTTTCCATGCTGAGAAACAATCAAGGAAACTTGAACAACAACTCAAGCCAAAATAATTCCAATTTGATGCCTATGAACCCTAGTCAGAATCGAATCAGTCCAAATTTTGTTAATTCAAATGAAAATCCTACTAGGACTCTAGTTTCTCCTCCACTAACAGGTGGAAATTACCACAAATGTCATGAGATGAAGTTTTAGTTGATTTCGAAGAACAAACTAAAAAATGTTCGATAAGTTTGATCAGATTTATGACTTCTGGGAGAGATGCAACAATTTGGTAGGAATTGCATAAATTTGACAAGAAATGTATGCTTTCAAGCAAATTTGTTGTCAGTCATCGATTACTTCAATGAACTTCAGGTTTTTTGAGAGTAAATTGATTACTACTAATCGATGCCTCTTTGCAAATGTGTTGTAAGGTGCTGGTGTAATACATATAGAGGTGACTAAACAATACTACTACAACAACAAAGTCTTATCCCACTAGGTGAGGTAGACTATATGCATCATACTACACCATTTGCCATGATTAATAACCAAAGCTTCAAAAGTATTATTTATCCTAAGATCTCCCTTGACGATTTCCTCCAACACCTTTTTGGTCTCCCTCTTCTCTTTTTCATAGGATAAAAATCATACAATCTACTCTTCTAACTGGCACCTATTGTGAGTTTGTACATGTCTAAAATGAAGGACATTTGGTAAATCAAGTTTGCAGCAGTTGAAAGGGCCACAACTTAAATCCTTGGGCTACTCTATCTACAGATATCAATTAGGTCTCAGGTCTTCTCTCGTCTATCTAACAAAGATAATGTAGATTGGATAGTTAATTTGGCACTTTGGGTGCCACTGAGCAGGTTTGCACTTCTTTATCTTTGTTCCAAATATACAATGGAATTCCATCCATATCAATTAAAATGACAAATGATGTTTTTAATGCTGAATTTGCTGGTGATGTGAAAAATTCAGCATTTTATTCATAAGGATGTGTTAATTCTACCAAAGTTCTGTTTTAATGTGGTTCCTACATCACAACTTACAAAATAAGCATAATGCAGATTTTTATTTGCTGATAATGCATGTTCAACTCATGACTTACAATTGGGGATGATTCGTTCCGCGAGCCTGAAGCACTCGTTCTGTCACTTAGATTATAGTTGGAATAGTGTTTATCATCATGTACATAGGAAAATATTATATAAATTTATGTTAGGGATATAAAGGGGTTGAAGGTTTAGGAGGAAAGACAGATGAATTTAATTAGTTGCAGTGGCTGGGTTGTTAGTAGTTGGTCTTCTTAACAAAAGACTACATATAGGGAGGTAACCTTGTGGGCTGGGGTATGTTTTTGGTATTCTGAAGTGTAGAACCAGGATTGTGAAATCCTGTAAGGGAAGTCTTTGGAAACGTATTGTTGAAGTGAGTATTAGTTTTTTTCCTACTTTTCTGTTGCACGAGGTGTAACAATTGGTTCGACCTGTCGGATCCATTGAGGGTGAGAGAGATGGAGGGAAAGATTACAACGTTAGAGAAGATGACCAACGAGCAGGGCAAAGTGATTGCGAAAATGCAAGAAACTCTGCAAGAAGTTAAATATTGGTTGCGACAATTCAAAAAAAAAAAGATGGAGGATCAGAAGGAAGTGAGAATTCCATTAATGGAGGTAGAAGAGGAGAGAAAACCTTAAAGAAAGGAGATTCCAATTCAGAATCTGACGAGGAAGAGGAAGTGCAGCGACATTGGATGAAAAGGGTGGAGTTGCCAACATTTGAAAGGAACGACCTTATGGGGTGGGTTTTCAGGGCTGAAATTTTTTTTAAGATACAGAATATATCATCCAGAGAAAAAATCAGATTGGCTTTCATCAGTATGGAAGGGAATGCAAATCACTGGTTTAGGTTTTGGAAACAAAAGACAAGGAACCCTTCGTGGGAGGATCTTGTGGAAGCTCTTATTCGTAGATTTGGGGGAAAAGAAAGGAGTACTGTGTTTGAAAGATTGACAGCTATTAAACAAGGTGAAGGGGTAGACGATTACATTCAAGAATTTGAGATGTTGGCTTCACAGGCACCACAATTGAAGGAAGAACAATTACTAGGATATTTTTTTGCGGGTATGCAAAGTAAGATTCGCAATCAAATTAAACCCCATGACCCAAAAGACTTGATGCGCGCTATGGAGATTGCCAGGGATGTGGAAGATTCGCTGAAGGAACCAAGATTTAGTGGAGGAGGCAGCCAACGCAATAACAGTTTCCAGGTTCGATATGCAGGGGGAGCAGGTACAATAACACGCACAGAAATGTTTAAGGATCTAGGAGTATCTCAAGGACCAACCAGCAACCAGGGTACGTCCAGAAAGGAGAGTAGTGGTTTAGTTATGGGACCCAAAACAGGAGGCAGCTCGTGGAGGAATCAGGGGTAAGAAATCTGCCATACCCTGAGTATATAAGACGACAAGAAGAGGGCAGATGTTTCCACTGTGGAGGAGCATATAATCCAGGTCATAAATGCCCTGAAAAGAACCTACGGGTTGTGATATTGGTTGAAGACGAGGGGGAGGAAGAAATGGAGGAACAGGTCAAGGAGGAACCCAAGCAGCAGCTGGAAATTCAGAGTTTGGAATTGTCTTTGTTCTCAGCAGGAGGATTAACCTAGAATAATACAATGAAACTCCAAGGCCAGTTGAAGGGGAGGCCTGTGTTGATCTTAATTGACAGTGGGGCTAGTCATAACTTCATAGCAACAAAATTGGTGACTGATTTGAACCTGCAGGTGACTCCTACACCGCCATACTGTGTTAAATTGGGAGATGGACATAGGAAGGAAACAAAAGGATGTTGTGAAGATGTGGTGGTGGGATTAAAGGACCACGAAGTCAGGGAGAAGTTCTTTCTCTTTGAATTAGGAGGGGTGGATGTTATTCTGGGGGTTGCTTGGCTAGCATCCCTGGGCGAAATTAAAAAACCTATAGCCTTTTTTAGTAAGGCTTTGTCTGATTCTAACCTGTCAAAGTCCATTTATGAGAAGGAATTAATGGCCTTAGTCCTATCTATTCAACATTGGAGACCTTATTTGGTTGGTCAGAATTTTACAGTGTTTACTGACCAAAGGAGTTTAAAATACTTGCTGGAGCAGAGGATAACAACACAAAACCAACAAAATTGGTTGGCCAAGTGACTCGGATATGATTTTGAAATTGTGTATAAGCTGGGTGCTTCCAACAAAGTAGCCGATGCGCTGTCTAGGCGATTAGAAGAAGAGTTCATCGAGGAAAAGGAATTGCGACTTATGTCTAAACCCTTTTGGCAAGATTTTAAAATAGTGACTGAAGAGGTGGATGCAGATCCAGTGTTGCAGAAGATTAAAGAGGCGTTAGCACAAAATCTTGAGGCTCACAAGAAATATACGTTGGAGCATGGCAGACTGCATCACAAAGGTAGACTGGTTTTGTCAGCTCAGTCTCCATAGATTCAGACATTATTGAAGGAACACCACGTAACTCCTACTGGAGGACATGCAGGGGTGTTTCGCACATATAGAAGATTGTCTCAATCCTTATATTGGATTGGCATTAAGAAAAGTGTGACAGAATTTGTGGCAGCTTGTGTGTCAGCAGCATAAGTACTTGACTTCGTCTCCTCAAGGGTTACTACAACCCTTACCTATATCTAATGCAGTTTGGGAGGATATCAGTTTGGATTTCATTACCAACCTGCCTAAGGTTAATGGGTTTGATATCATTTTGGTGGTAGTTGACAGATTGAGTAAATATGGCCATTTTATTCCCATCAAACATCCCTATTCAGCAAAGTCCATAGCAGAGATTTTTGTGAAGGAAGTGGTAAAGTTGCATGGTATTCCTGTGTCCATTGTCAGTGACAGGGACCCCACATTTTTTAGCCTGTTTTGGAAGGAAATTTTCAGGTTGCAGGGCACCAAATTGAAGATGAGCACCGCCTATCACTCAGAAACGGATGGCCAGACAGAGGTGTTGAATCGCATATTAGAGACCTATTTGAGATGCTTCAGTTCAGAGCAACCTAAGGCCTGGGTTGGATTTATACCATGGGCTGAATACTGGTACAATACCAGTTTTCAGGGAGCAGCAAACTGCACACCTTTCGAAGTAGTGTATGGGAGACCACCACCCTCCCTAGCGCGGTTTGTTCCAGGGGAAACATCAGTAGAGGCAGTGGCCCAGGATTTGATGACGAGAGATGAAGCGCTTCAACAACTTAAACATCATTTGTCACGGGCTCAGGATAGGATGACTCAGGCTGCCAATAAACATCATCGCCCTTCTCTAATTAAAGTAGGTGATTGGGTGTACTTGAAGATACGACCTCACAGACAAACATCTATGCCAATCAGATTACATCCTAAGCTGTCTGCTAAATATTATGGCCCATTCCTGGTTACTAGAAGATTGGGTTAGTGGCGTTTAGGTTACAGCTACCAGAATCGGCACGCATTCACCCTGTCTTTCATGTCTCCCAATTGAAATTGGCGATAGATACTCATCAAGTGGAGAAAGACTTACCAACAGATTTACAGGGGCCTAATCCTATGTATTCACCTCTAGCAGTTATGGATAAACGCTCCTTTCAAACCAATGGCGAAGACACACAACAAGTTTTGATTCAATGGCAAGAAGGGGGACCTGAAGCAGTAACATGGGAAGATATTAACACCATTTAAACACATTTTCCTGAATTCAACCTTGAGGACAAGGTTGACGTTGTAGGGGTGGGTAATGTTAGGGATATAAGGGGGTTGAAGGTTTATGTTGGGAGGAAAGACAGAGGAATTTAATTAGTTGCAGTGGCTGGGTTGTTAGCAGTTGGTCTTCTTAACAAAAGACTATATATAGGGAGGTAACCTTGTGGGCTGGAGTATGTTTTTGGTATTTTGAAGTGTAGAACCAGGATTGTGAAATCCTGTAGCGGAAGTCTTTGGAAACGTATTGTTGAACATTTTCCATTCTTTTTAAATAACACCAGGTATAAGGCCTGTTTCTCAGTGAGTATTAGTTCTTTTCCTACTTTTCTGTTGCACGAGGCGTAACAATTTACCTTTAGGGATTGCATTTTATATTTCTTTGGTTTATTTTATTGTATCATTATTATTCCTTATAAATAGAGAATCATGCGAGTGCTCATCACTCACAATTCCTGCAAATCCTTTTATAGTTTCTGTTACTAGTAACATTGTTTCTGAACCTTGTTCTGTATCAAAGGCAGCTTTACGGAAGTTTAACCTAGGCCATGACTCAGTTGGTAGACTCCATATACAAATTAATAAAGACAATGCTGGTGATATTTGTCATGTTCCAACGCAAAAGGGGCTATCAAATACTTTAAGCACTAGGACATTTGGGGACCACATTCTTTAAGTTCAGTGCATAAGCACAGTTATTTTTATACCGAAGTAGATTATTACAAATTTACTTGGGTTCTTCAAATGAAAGGAAAATTTGAGGTTCAATAACAGGTTCAGAAATTTATACAATTGAATGAGAACCAATTTGGAACAACTGTTAAAAGGGTGAGGGTATGTGCCAGAGTTCACAAGGTCCGTATTTTACAGAAAGAAAAGAATCACTCATCAGTGTAAGTGCATTGAAATTCCCAACAAAATGGCGAGTGGAAAGAAAACATCAAGATATTTTGCGTACAGCTCTAGCTCCTATGATGCAGGCTTCTATTCCTAATTTTGTGTGGTCCTATTCTATGATCCATGATGTTATTTTGATGCGTAGAGTCCCATCTAAAGTTCTCAGAGATTAGTTAGTTCCCATTTCAGGTCCTATATGTAAGCTGCCAGATTTTGCGGACCTGGAATTTATGTTACCTATCCACCTCAACCAACAACAGAGGTAAATTTGATCATCAAACTCACAAGTGCGCTTTCCTTGGCTATAAACATGGATTGAAGGGTATATTGGCTATGATGTGCATACCTAGCCGAGTTTGGTCTGTAGGCATGCATTTTTCTATGAGCTCTTATTTCCATGCAGCCTGTCACAGAGTACTCCATCTCAAACTTCTTGGCAGCACTTTGATATTTCCACTGCAAACACCTATCAATACCTCTTCCACAGGCAATACCTCTTCCTCAACCTGTACCACGAAAAGACACTCAATCCCAACCTGTACAAATGGATACTCCTTGAACAATTATTCCACACTCCGTTAGACCAAAGGAAGCACCCGTTCATCTCAAGGAGTATCATTTCCTTACCACCACTTCTTTTACTCCACATCACCATATCCAATTTCCTCTTACCTCTCATTTTAATTCCCCTCTCATTCATATAAAGCCTATACCCTGTCCATCTCTTCCCTCACTGAACTCACTTCATATGCTCAGGCCAGCAAAGAACAATGTTGGATAGAAGCTATGCAAATGAGTTTAATTGGGCAAAGCTACCACGAGAGTAGGGATCAATTCAACTAGATACAACTTATTCTAAGAGGAGCATAGGTTACCTTAAGTTAATTTACCTTCCCTACAAAGAGAATCAAAAGAATATAGAAATGAAGAGATTAAGTCAATAGGAAATCTTGGCCTAAAACGTAATCCTGAGAGTTTTCTTACATCAATTTAATCTCAATTAATTGCGTTTTTTATTTTCTTCTTGAATTCTTATTTCACAATTAGTTCTCAATTCCAATCAACTTCTTTTCGTTTAATTCCATATTAAATTGTGATAATTACAAAACGAAACACACAAACCTCATGGATTAAACATTATCACTTGATGAGAATCGTGCTCTTGTAATTTTCATGCATCAACATTTGCCAATCCTTATGGTTTCTAAGCTGGGAATGGTCAATATTTACCAATCCTCAGCTAGTGGAGTATTACATGATGAGAAACAAAAACGGGAAAAAGAAAGGGGTTAGTTTGTTAATTGAAGCTAGCTGTCTGTTATTAGAATTGGTTACTATTTTTCCCCTGTATATAATAAGCCCATATGCCTGTACATCACTGGTTGATGAGAATAATACAGATAAATTGAGTTCAACTTTTTTGTCTCTAAATTGATTTTACAAAGAGACAGATTATGCAAGCAGACATTTGGATTTTGGTGCCCGTGTTAACATGTATGAATGTATGGATGTAAATATATATAATTTTATTGTTGAAATGTGAACTCTCCACTAGTGCAACTTACATTACAGTACGTCCAATTTGTGAGATGAGAAAAATAAAACTGAAAAAATACAGATGAAATACAAGAAGAAAGAAGAAAAAATTGAACAGTGCCAATAAAATTTAACAGACAGAAAGTAGAAGTAATCATAGATGTAAAGAGAATCAAGGTTTCAAAACGTGGTTTGGAAAGTTAATGTTATAGTCCTATGATCATGAAACAGCATGGCATCTCCGTCCCGTTTAAACATGCGATGAAATTCGATATGTTACAGAAATTACACTTCTAGACAACCATTAGTCCCAACTTTTGCAACAACACTTCAGTGAGACAAAATGTCGAACAAGTAGATTCATGTCAGAAACATGGGTAAAAGACAAAGACCCAGAAAAATATTAAGGCGCATATTACCTTCAGTGACGTCTCCGAAGGAAGAGAAAGCGTCTTTGAGCGACTTTTCGTCCACTGACCATGACAACCCTGAAAGAACCTCAGAGTCAATAAAAAAAAGACCATAACAGGAGGAACATAGTGGAAGAGAGAGAGAGAGAGAGACAGAGGGGGACCTCCAACAAAGAGCTTGTTGCAGGAAGGATGAGAGGGTGGAGAACAGTAGAATTGGCATCGAGTTTGAGGAAGAGGAACGCGGAACCTTGTCGAAATGGCTGTGGCAACAAACGCTAGAGATTTGCTGTTCATATTTCAAAATCTACAAACATTAAACGACAATACAAAATATCTCGCTCTTTCAAGAAAATGTGTCACAATTAAAGATCTTCAATTCTGATCAATACATACTTATTATCTCTGTTGAAAAAACTTTTCATTGTAATATAAGGTCAACACTAGATAGAAAAATCCATTCATGCTTTTCACTCCATATGAACAACCTAGTAACATGAGAAACTGAGCATAGAATTTGCTAAAAATCAATACAATGTTATGATTCAATTAAAATTGCATTTGCACAACTAGATGTTACATATTTAATTTGCTTAGAGTCCTGTGCATCACCTTCAAATTGTTTTTTCATGAAATCCGAAGAAAAATTCAATAAAAAGTATTAAAAACATAATTATAAACTAAGAATAACTTATCAAATCCTAATTAACCAATTAAACACACTAAAAAGGACTAAACTGGTGCCAGTTATACACTATATTTCACACAAAAATGTATTTACAGAGATTTTGTAAGAAAAAAAAAAAAAACTTAAAACAGAGATGAATCTAGTCCTAATAAGTTGCATCAAGCTTTTATTGCATTATTATTGCAAGGTCTATATAGTAAGAATAGTGTATTAAACTATTATCGTACATACCAATGATTTGATTTGTAAGAAACTATATACAGACAAATATCAATCTATAATAACATAAGCGTGATCAAGATGGAAGAGAAGTTTCCTCTCTCTCTCATGTTCCTATATTTAAGGAGGCCGGAAAAACTTTAGGTTAGACTATTTTATATTTTTAAATCATCTTAATTAAATTTTACTAAATGTATGTAAATTCGCAATAATTTTTTCACATTTTACACAATTTTAATTTACTTATATATATATATATATATATTGAAAATATTAAGTGTGATAAGATTACTTGTAAGTATGATTTTTAAGGGTTGTTTATTTCTTTTAAGTGGTTGAATTTCGCAATTATATCATGAAATATTAAGGAATGAAATGTATTCGACGTTTATTTCGGTTTTTAGTCTTTGCATTAGAAATATTTTTCTAATTTAAGACTTGGGGGTTGTGGTATGTGCATAGAGATTGAGTCTGGTTGAGTTTGGTTGGGTTCGGATCCAACTGCATGAGTAAAGTGGGTCAAGATAAACCTATTTTGGGAAGATGAACTTGATTGATACCTAATGGGCCCAATGTGTAGATAGTACGAGGAATAAGATATTATTGGGCTCAATAGATGCGCCAGGAGAAAAACCCTAAAGGGAAATTTGATTATAAAGGGGAAGGAAAAAACATAAAAGGGACATCTCTTTTGTTCCATAACATTGGTGTCCACCGTGGGATAGGTAAAACTTTTCCTACTCCACATTCAAAACAATCATAATGACTCGTACCAACAATCGAAACAATCAAGACTCTAAATGGGTTTATAGACAAATCCCCGAAGGACTCGTTAGACGCACCCATTGTTCCTCTCTTGTTCCTTCCTCCTTTGTCTCTGTAATCGATCCCGAAGGAAGCGGCGTACCAGATCATAAACGACGAGCTGATGGTGGATGAAAATCTGAGGTTGAACCTGGCGTCCTTTGTGACGACGTAGATGGAGCTGAATGCGATAAACTCATAATGACTGTCATTAACAAAAACTACGTCAACATGGATGAGTACCCTGTCACCACTGAACTCCAAGCAAGTACCTCACCATTCTCATTCTTCTTCTTATTGTTAATCTTAATCAATTTAAATCATTTATCTCACTCGCGTTTCGAATCCTTCTCTCAACTCATACTCTCTAAAACCATATATAAAATGAGAGATATACGTCCTAACTTTAAATAATATATTATAAATTATATCATTATGTTCTTTAAAGGTACTTTTAATATTTAGATTTTTTTATTTTTTTTAAATAATTATTTCTCTATTTTTTAGGGATAATTTGTCAAATACATAACAAAATTTGTTACCTAATTCATAAGAGGCTGATACTTGATTGTAGTGGTTGAATCACAAAAATAATTCTCAATTTGCTTGGGTAGGATAAAAATTAAAATACTATTTTTATTATAATTTTTAGAATTGAGAAAAGATAAATAAAATATATTATTATTATTCTCGTCTTAAATATTAATTAATTAGGTGTCTAATATTAAATGAATAAATTTGTTAAAGATATTTTTAGAAAAATAATATAACTTATTGATATACTTAAGGTTAATAATTAAATTAATAATTTTTTTATAAAGGTATCAAATAAGTTGAAATTTATATTTTTAATTCATATAATTTTAAAATATCATTTTAATTTATTTGTCTAGGATACAATTAAATTTTACTAATCAATTATAAGGTTATCAAAACTATACTTAACATAATAAGGGTCCAAAAAGTTAAAGAAATAAATTAAATTAGACAAATTAAATTTATAGTCTAAATAAAATTAAACTAATTTTGAACTAGTTTATTTACATAATAAAATTAAACTAAATTAATATATAGGTTTATTAGACATTTTAAAATAATATATCCATCCTCTTATATTAAATATTTTAAGTCTTTACACAATTTAAAAAAATTAAAATTAATTAATATGTAATAGTTACACCTTTTTTTAATATTATATATTTTAGTCCTTACACATGTTATTCTATCTTTTACAATTTTATACAATTTCAATTTTTGAGTTGTACTATTTTCCTTGAAAGTTTTTTATAGAACAATCAGGTTTTTCTTTCAAGGTTTTGAAAGAGGTAACGATATCAATAAAAAGGTTCATTGAGACATTCTTTAAATATTTATATTATGGTCAGAATGGGACTTACGCTCGAAAACCGAGCAATGTGCGAAATCCGTACTAAGTTCGAAAACCGAGCAATGTGCGAAATCCATACTAAGTTCGAAAACCGAGCAATGTGCGAAATCCGCACTACGTACGAAATTCGTACTAAGCTCAAAAACTGAGCAATGTGCGAAATCCACACTACGTACGAAATCTGTACTACGCTCGAAAACCGAGCAATGTGCGAAATCCACACTACATACGAAATCAGTACTACGCTCAAAACCGGCAATGTGCGAAATTCACACTACATACGAAATCAGTACTATGCTCGAAACCGAGCAATGTGCAAAATTTGCACTATGTATGAAATTCGTATTACGCTTGAAATCCGCACTACGTACGAAATCCGACCTAAGCAGGTTAATTTTCGTCTAAATTTAAGTATACGCACAAGCAATTTTCACACTCTACATCAAGGCGACGGTCACTGTAAATATGATTTTTAAGGGTTGTTTATTCCTTTTAAGTGGTTGAACTTAATTATATCATGAAATATTAAGGAATGAAGTTATTCGACATTTATTTCGGTTTTTAGTCTTTGCATTAGAAATATTGTTCTAATTTAAGACTTGGGGGCTGTGGTATGTACATAGAGATTGAATCTGGTTAGGCTCGGGTCCAACTGCATGAGTAAAGTGGATCAAGATAAACTTATTTGGGGAAGATGGACTTGATTGATACCTAATGGGCCCAATGTGTAAATAATATGGAGAATAAGATATTATTGGGCCCAATAGATGCGCTAAGAGAAAAATCCTAAAGGGAAATTTGATTATAGAGGGAAGGAAATAACATAGAAGGGACATCTCTCTTTTATTCCGAACAAATTTACTTTTATATATATATATATATATATATATATATATATATGAAAATACTAATTTTATTTATATAATTTAATTTTATATTTTGGTCTCTTGTTGAATATGTTCTAATTCTGTTATTATTACTTATCATTGACAAATATTATTTCATCGTCAGACTTACATATATAGCTGTTATTTTTTTTTACTAATTTACTAACTCTTAATTTAATTTTTTAATGATTTGAATTTTTATGTATTTCTTATTTTGTTTAAAAAGAATAAACGCTTTAAATATTTTATCATAAACTAATTACATATTGATATGTTACAATGAAAAAAATAAAATCATTCAATATAAATTTATAAAGTAACACATTAATATAAAAAGCAAACATCGAATAAAATAATAGTTTCAATTTATTCATTAAAACAACATAAAAATATATAATTACATATTAAAAAAAAAAATGGACCTATATGCAGGACCTTGGGCCCTCACAATTCCGAACAAGACCCAATGTCGGTTTTCAGTTACGTGAAATGAAATTTTATGCCAACCTGTACTTAAAGCAAGGAATATATATATAAAGAAGATATTATTATCGAGTGGCGGATTTTGACCTATTGATCTTGGAAGCTAAATAATATATTATTAATAAATAATAAATAAATATAAAAGGAAGAAAGAAGATGAAAGGGTAAAAGGATAAAATTGTAGATATATATTTAAATATATTAAATGATCATTAAGTTTGAGGGGACAAAGTCATAAATTACATGGGAGTTACAAAATTAAGGAGGAAGTTGAGAGGATAGAATTGTAAATATACAAGTAAATATATTAAATGTTTATTAAGTTTGGGGGGGGCCAAAATCATAAACTACATGGGAGTTATAAAACTTTGGGGGGGGGCACGGCCCCCTCAGCTCCCAAGAAGATCCGCCACTGATTATTATGAAACTTATGCTTACAATATTTAAGATATTCAAGATGATGAGAAGGGAAGGTTGAGAACTTTGGCTACGAAGGAGTTGGTCGAGGAAGATAAAGTTTAAAACTCTAAGAGAGTTGTAAATTCTACTTCTGACTCTTTTATAGACCTTAAGATTTTCCTATTTAATTATACAACTGGCACACTAATAACAAGTGACCGACCAAAGACATAATTACAAGAGACACCTGTGCTAAAAACAAAACATAATTACAACTGACACGCTTTTACTTTCGGCGGCCGACGCTAAAAACAAAATAACATAATTATCATGACTTTGCTTTCAACTTTGTGGGCCCCCATTTTCTTTGCGTAGGGAATCCACTGAGTCTTCTTCAGAAAGGGGAACTATAGCATCTGTTGGGCGATGG